ACAGGTATCTCAAGATTGTTGATCTGTAAAGTTTAACTATAATACAAAATCAGATCACTCTAACAGGTGTCGGAAGAATGTTAACATTGATCTGTAAAGTTTAACAATAATACAAAATCAGGTCAGTCTAACAGCTGTCTAAAGAATGTTAACATTGATCTGTCATATTTAACAGTAATATAAAATCAGGTCACTCTAACAGGTGTCTCAAGAATGGTAAAATTTTCTGTCATATTGAACAGTAATGTAAAATCATGTTAGTAACAGGTGTCTCAAGAATGTTAACATTGATCTGTCATATTCAACATTAATATAAAATCAGGTCAGTCTAACATGTCTCAAGAATGGTAACATTGATCTGTCATTAAATAGCAATATAAAATCAGGTCAGTATAACAGATGTCTCAAGAATGTTAACATTGATCTGTCATATTTGACAATAATACAACATCAGGTCAGTCTAACAGGTGTTTCAAGAATGTTAACATTTTTCTGTCATATTGAACAGTAATGTAAAATCATGTTAGTAACATGTGTCTCAAGAATGTTAACATTGATCTGTCATATTTGACAATAATACAACATCAGGTCAGTCTAACAGGTGTCTCAAGAATGTTAACATTTTTCTGTCATATTGAACAGTAATGTAAAATCATGTTAGTAACATGTGTCTCAAGAATGTTAACATTGATCTGTCATATTTAACAGTAATATAAAATCAGATCAGTCTAACAGGTATCTCAAGATTGTTAACACTGATCTGTAAAGTTTAATAGTAATATAACATCAAGTCAGTCAACAAATATCTTGTGAATATTATCACTAAACTGTGAGATTTCACAGTAATACGGCAACAGGTCAGTCTAACAGATTCCTATGTAATATTACCACAGGTTTATTCAATTTAACAGTAATATTTAAAAAGGCTTATCAGATACTAGGTTAATATAACAACAGGTCAATATAACATTTTTCAATAATAGTTGCATAGGCATATCAATATTAAGCAGTAAATGTTTAAATAATACAAAATGTTAACTCTTAGATTTCTTAGTATCATGAAGTCATGTTATTCCATATATTAATTCATCAAATACTTCACACACACTATGTCTGACAGAGGAAAACAGTAAGTACATGTAAAACAGATGTTACCATTGTAACCACATAGAAAAGCATGAAAAAAATCCGACTCCACTCTGTTGCTACAGCAGCATAACCATCCATGATGATAAACCAATTGTTGACCACCATCAACTCAAAGAGGGTAACTATTAAAAATACAAGCATCTAAGTATGATTTTTTTACTAAATGCTCCATTATCATCAGTTGTTGATTCATGAGTTCAAATACCTTAACTTTTATTACATGCCAAAACAATTTTCATCTAAAAAATTATACGTTTTAACAAGTTAATTTTTATCACATGATGAAAGAATATCAATTAACAAATTTCTCATTTATGTATTACAAACCAGTTGTTAAAAAAAAAGTTTCAACAGGTCAACATTCAATACATGATAAAACTATATTAATTAATCAACTTTCTGTTCCACATATTATAAGCCAGCCCTGAAAAACTATAAATGTTAACAGGATAAATTTTAGTTGAAAAAAAATCAGTAACAATTTATCAACATAGCTACTTTAGGAATAGTGTTGTTTAATGCTACAAACGAAACCATCTAAATTGGCGAACCACAATACTATTTGAGTAATATTAAATGAAATTCTGAACATTATTTTTTCAAACAAGTTCAATGTTCAACACAAGACAAAAGAAACATGAGAATATCTATGAAACATAAACCCACATCGAACCAATATGATGATCACTAGATGACAAGAAGAGAAAATCTTACTTTTTCGGTTAATGATTTTCGATACTTCACAGATTATCATTGGCTGCCTTCACATAATACTTACAGAAACGTCCAAACTAGCAAAGTACTCATTACTTTTGATTGACATTGACTCTGATTCAACTGAATATGTTCAGCAGATATTAGAAAACTGCATTTCCAACAAGATTGGGCTGACATATAAGATGCTGGATCGATTTATAATTTCACCATTTATCAACAAAATATTTGACAGGATACATTTTTAAGTACAGGTCCACAACTTTCTTCTGTATAACCTGAATAAATTCAGACAAATCTACGTGCTACTTTATTACGAGACTATTTCATGTCATACAAAACTAATATTTAAAATTCAACCTTAAGTCTACTGAATTAAACCTGTACCAATAATGAATGTGATTTCATGCATTCCTCTACAGGTATATTATACTTACTACAGCTGTTGATGATATTTTCAAAGTTGTTTAAATAATAGTAACCTTCAGCCAATGAGCTGTTATCAAAATGATAAAACTGTTCCACTGTAGTGTTCCTGTAAGGAGAAAAATGTTTTATTGCACCTCAGAATACATTTGTTGTATTAAAATTATGCAATGTATGTAGCAGGTAAAAAGTAAGTGAAAAACTACAATTAATGGAATAATATATCAGAATACTTGGAATTATAGAAACTAGTTTCAACACATTCAGGTGTCTGAAAGACAATGTGAGACTGAAACAAGTTTCTCAAATTTCAAGTCTTTGGACAGTTTGTTTCTTTAACTGTGATTTTTTCACTAACTTTTAACTTTTTTTTGTTGTACTTTTATCAATATAACAGAAGCTTTATGAGAAGAGTAATGATAAGCGAACTTATGGATTTATATTCAAAATGAGTAATGAAAAAATATTTCTGGTAGAATCAAGACAAAGTAAATTGGCATGATACTTTTACATATTGTTTATATATGAAAGTGCAAAAAGAAAAACAGTGGAATGATGTAGAACTGGACCAGACATGTACTTAAGATAATGAACATTCCTTGAAACTTTTATCTCTTTAAATTTTGTTATTTCGATATGATCACTCAGGTCCATACACAGAAAACTATTTTCCTCTTGAGACCATGCTATCTGCCCGAGAGAGATTTGCATGCCACCAGCCTTTGTCAACTCCTACCTAAAATTCACATGAATGACGTGAAATTGTGCTACTGCATGATTATGATATCATGCAGCAAAACTCTCCACCAAAAGGAGTGCAACATATCTTATGTAAAAGTTCCCTCTACATTTGTGCATGAATTATGTAATTCTTTTCCTCAGCACAGTTGTATTTTTCATTGCTGAGACTTATCAATGTTTTCACTTGTAAAACTTGTGTCTTCAATTTCTTTACAGCATGAATTCACAATTCAACATGAATTCTCTTCACCTAATGTGAGTGAAAATAACTCACAATGATTAATTTCCAAATAATGTCATGTCTGTGAACGACATGACAGCCATTGTCTAATGCATGGTGGGCTCCATGTTGCCTAATGTGAGTGAAAATAACTCACAATGATTAATTTCCAAATAATGTCATGTCTGTGAACGACATGACAGCCATTGTCTAATGCATGGTGGGCTCCATGTTGCCACCTAGACCCTCTTTTTACACACTTCCTTTCCCATGATTTTGAGAAAGAAGTTGAGGAGGACAAAATGGGGTGAATTTTTCCACAACCTGGCTTTGCCTTAGGTACTTCTATGCCTTCCAAAGAACATGTTCAGTCAACTTCAGGTTTCCAAGACCTTATCACTCAGGTATGTACCACTCTTTCCCTTTCCCCCACAATTATGATGCTTCCCATACACTCTTACATAACCCTTCTCCTTGTGATTTTTTTTTATTTTTCCTCCCACTTCCAGATATTTCCATCCATGATACTTCCTTTCTTGAACAACTTTGTTCCTGGAATATTATGCCACATCCTCCTCACCTGCCTGATTCCCACCTATCTGCCAACAGTCACTCTCTCTTTCCTTAGTCTCATTTGGGGGTGGTGGTGGACTCTTTGTTAGCTGTTTTTCTGTCCAGTGCCCATTTTTTTCTGTTTTTGCATCTTCCTTTTTACCCTCCTTCATTACCTCTTCTTACTCCACCTCTTGACAGAGGCTCTCCATTACTCTCCTGATGAGATCACAGGGAACATTTGAACCATCCTTTTCTCTTCCCTTGTATGTTCATCTTCTTCTGCCTTTTCTCTTCTCACTTGGTTCCTTTGTTGTTGGAATGTCTAGGGTAGAGACTCTTGTGTCTGTTTCTCCTCCTCTTTCCTCTGTAACCTTCATTTTGTCTCCTTTCTCCATATTGAATTATTAGCAGGGCTCCTGATTCTTTGTAATCATGAGCTGAAGCTGCCTGCCAACAATCTTCCCTTTCTTCTTTAGTCTTATGTTTGTCCCATTCTTGCTCCTCCACACCTGTCATCTGACCCCTCTCTCCCCATTTCTTTCTGGTATTCTGATCTTCCACTCCATCCTATCCTCCTTCCACCTGTCATCATAACCATCACTGATCATCCAGTTGGTTCAGGGCCTGTGGGAACCTGTCTGTTCCACTTTGCGTAATTTTGGGCTCCTTTTGTTGCACACAGATGGGACATTCAAGTTCTCACCCAAAATTCTTTCTTCACTTTTCTTCCCTACCTCCTCTTTAAACCTGTCTTTTCCTCACTTCTAAGACTTAGCCTACCTTTGACATCTGGAAAGGGCAGTTTCAGACCTCTGGAAAAGCAAGCTATAGAGAGAGTTCCAAACCCTTCTTTGGATTATTATTCTTGCCTCTTCGTTGTCCCCAAAAAGATGAGAGACTAGTGCCCTATCATCTACCTTTCCTCAATCAAACATTTTTTCTTCACTTTCTGTTGGTCTTTCCAACTAGGCCTTTGGATGATGAAGGTAGATGTGTAAGATACATTTCTTTATGTTCCAATAGCACATGCCTCTCAACATTACCTCAGGTTTGTCTATGGGAACCATGTCTATCAGTTCTGTGCCCTTCCATTTGGTATTGCATTGGCCCCATATGTTTTCAATCTCATTATGAGGACTTTCACTTGTCATCTACATGGTTTGGGAATACAATTTCATTTTTACATGAATGACTGGCTTCTCCTTACCTGTTCCCAAAAAGATTCCTTGGATCAAACTTTCCCTCTTTTTCATGAAGGTGCTCATTTGAGGTGGCTGGTCAAGGTCTCCAAATCCTCCCTCACACCAACACAATACCTTGTTTACCTTAGGATTACTGGAGCTCTACTTGTGTCAGTATTATAATATGTTCCATAATCTGACTCAGACTGTACCCATTCCATAGACTATCATGGAAAAAGCCACCAGCAGAGTTGTTCACCTGCCTGCTTCTATGGTTAGTGCTTGCTGGTGGCTTTTCAAGATTGGATTTTAGAGTCACCCATTGTACTGCCTCCAGTAAAAGACCTTTCCAGCAGATATGTGATGGTGATCCAGGCACATTCTCCAGGTTCCCCTAATATGAATTCTCCCCAACCCCTCAGATGGAGCACAGGAGACCCTTGCCACTTATAAGCTTCCAACTGATGGGGTGGTGGACCATGGAGAATCCTCACCATTTGAGACCTATACACTAGGGGCTAGAACAAGGATTTCTCTACAATGAGCAGTGGGGCAGGGGTGTTTCTGGAGTGTTGTGTGTTTTACCCCATTGCTTATGTATACACCACAATCTCCAGGAGGAATTTGGACACATAACTCTCTCTCATGCTTGTACATCTGTCTGTCCTTATCATAATTCCTACACCCACAATGGCCTGAATCTTCTGTATCTGATGGCAGAGTAGATGATATTTCATATCCAACTGTGATGTATCGCTCACACACTCTACTCCCATAGCAGACAAGAGGCCCATAGTGTTTGATGGTCAAGTTGTGGTTATATACTTGTGTCCACTAAACAAATATGTCTACATGGTACTCTCCTCCCACAACTGGTGAGGGGCTCATAGTGCCTGACAGTACAGGAACTGTGCATGGATACTTATCACAAGTGCCCTTCTCCTACAGCTGGTTTTGACCCATAGAAACTGATGGCTGAGGAGGTGTGCACCCTCGGTACAGCCTGAACAAGCCCCAACCTCATTACACTAATTGACCATGCGACATCTTGTATGTGAGTACTCGTACGGTTGTGCCTATTCCACCTATCCTTGTGATACCTTGCAGGACTTTCTTCTCTTCTAGTCCTACTAATGGGCAAATAGTATACCATAAATGAGATGAGATGTTGCCTCCCACAGGTATGCTCCTATGGAGCCCTGCCATACAGTGTCACACCCCATGGGCGTTTAATTCAGCCGCTTGCTGAAGGGAGCTCATCTAAATAAATTTCGCACTAATACCTGCACTATCTCAATGTGGGATTCTAGCTTACTGTGTATGGAGGTGAGTTATTGCATCAGAAGTTAACATTTTCCTTCATTGAAAATGTATTTCCAATAGATACATCCATACCCGTTCTCATCCATCCTCCCTACTTTCCTGGTGGACCTTTCTATGTGGCCTTGTCAAAGAATGATGGAATTTGTGCCCAAATGTAAAGGGACCTTTTGTGCAAAGAGGTGTGTTGCACTCCTATTGGTGGATGGTTTGGCTGCAAGATATGTCCTCATGTAGTAGTGCAATTTCACATCATTCACATGAATTTTAGGTGGGAGTTTTCACAAGGCTGGTGGCATGCAACTCTTTCAGGAAGATAGCACAATCTCAAGAGGAAAAAGCTTTCTGTGTATGGAGGTGAGTATCTATTGGAAATACATTTTCAATGAAGGAAAATGTTAACTTTTATTCTATTCTTTTGACTCCAAGAAATGGTTGCATGTTTTAGGGTTATTATATTTATTGACTATTTTATTTAGAGAAACTGTCTTGTGTTTTTGATATTTTGTTAGGAAAGTCTATTTATTACATACTTCTCTTCTTGCTTCTGTGTTTTATATTTAAGCATGATAACCAATAACATGAGTTTAGAGTGAAGTAATTCTTATCACTCTTATTTAGCCTATATTAATGATTTGATCTTGTTTTCACTATATATGTTTTAGTTTGGTGTTGAGATTTTCTAAACTCAGCATGATATCATCCCAAACAAAGGGTGTGTTTGTTAAATCACAGCTACCTCACATGAGCTTTGTCATTTGTTAAATCTTGCACTCAAAGAAGTCATTAAAAAATTTGCAGTCATCATTTTTTGGACTTTGTTCCTGGAATAAACTCACAGTCTATGGAGATGATTTGTTTTGTTACAAAGAGCAAATTAAAAATGGCAGACGTATAGCAAGGGAACTTGTGAGATTAATTTTCTTTGTATGGATACACAGATCTGTATTCAAAAGTCCTTTCACATGTGGAATCAAGCACTAGACTAGTTGAAAACCAAAGGAGGCAAATAATTAAACAAATCAAATCCATTCAAGAGCAGATGTATGCAAGGCCTAATCATTTTACATTTCATTTTATAATGACATGAAGACTTAGGTTATTGCATTTTAATCATGTCAACACAGCTAAGTTAGCCCAAACCTTTTTAATATATACATTTTGTTGTTAAAGTTCTTTTAAATTGTAGATTATTAATATAAAACCATAGTATATGTGCAATTACAATAGCTCACCCACAATCTTCAGAAAGGCCAGAATATCATACATTTAAGATGATCATCCTGTATCCTAGTTGTGGGACACAACTGTTTTTGGACATAGTTATGGATCCTAGTTGTGGGACACAACTGTCTTTGGTCATACTTATGGAAGACAACTGTCTTTTGGTATAGTTATGGATCCTAGTTGTGGGGGACAGCTCTATCTTGGCATGGTTATGGATCCTAGTTGTGGGGGACAGCTCTATCTTGGCATAGTTATAGATCCTAGTTGTGGGACACAACTGCCTTTGGGCATAGTCATGGATCCTATTTGTGGTAAACAAATGTCTTTGGTCATAGTTATGGATCCTAGTTGTGGGAGACAGCTCTCTCTTGCCATAGTTACAGATTTCAGTTGTGGGAGATAGCTGTCTTAGGGTATATTTATAGATTTTAGTTGTGGGAGACAACTGTCTCCTGGCTTTTTATTGTAGTAAAGGTGTAGTAATAACAACTTTCACCTTCAATATTCCACTGATGTAAGAATTACTCATAAAAGATTTGTTCAAGAACTCCATCTTGTATGTTGTTACAGTAAATACTCTTGTCTTCTACCATTTGTATAGGTAAGAAAACAGGTCCTTTGATAAATAACCAAACTGTGATGTCACAAAAAGTGAACACACACCATGAATGTGAAATATATAAAACACAGTTCACAATGAGCTTGAAGATTTTGCTGAAATAAAACATATACCCGACTGATTTTGTAAAAACAACACTCAAGAATGCACAAATGTAAAAAAAATTACAGAACACGTAAGGCTTTAGTCAGAAGTTCCACATAAGAATTAAAGGTGGAAAAGTAGCTGTCTTTGCACAAACAAATTAATATAAAATTATAATGGAGAAAAAGCTTTAAAAAGAAGACATATCTGATGAGAGATCGAATCACAGAAATTCAGTACAACTTGAAGTAAATCTAAAAACCACAATGTCTAAAAACTAGGTAAACACTATAAAGGAAACAATTTGTTAGGTGTTATTACAAAGATCCTATTTAAAGCCACTGTCTTCTGATAAGATTTATAATGTCAATTTAAAATCAATAAATTAAATTCATCTTCTAAGCATAAAGATTATTCCAGGCATGAACAGTATGACAAAATACTCAAAAGTGTTAAGCTACCATAAATTAAACTTAGGAGACAATTATTTTATTGTTAATTAGTTAATATTATTAAAAACAATATATATTTTGAGATCCAAGAGTACTTACTACATCTATTAAGATATCTACTATAATGAAGAGTTTTTATTGTTGTATAACCATAACAGTACTCAAGTTAGAATCCATATACTAAACATTATAAAAATGATTATAATGTTGTTTCTTACTTGCAACAGTTTATCATATTAAAGTCAGAAAACAGCTCCATTCCAATGATGGCAAAGAAGTAGTACACAATCAGCAAGACTAAGGCGACACTACCAAACCGAGGTAGCACAATAAAAACAGTACCAAGTACATCACGATATCGACGATTCATTTTAAATAACCTGCAATAATAAAATAGTTGGACTGAATTAGCCTAATTTATAAAGTTGTTAAGAGAGCAAGATACAGATGATTTAATCACAAAATATTACCAGTTTTTTTCAACAGAGAAGAAACTTTTGCCTAAATTTTAGTTTAGTATAAAGTAAAAATAAAGATTTCAGTTTTCAAATTAATGATATCAGTACTTTCTCTTTTTGTAATGATTTTATACTCTATCCTTATTTAAAAGTTAACAACAGATCATTACTTCTTGATTTTAGTAAATATTTTCAGCCTTTCTTATTCTCAACTCAAAGAAAAAGTAAATTGAAAAAGAAATATTTAAATGACTGTGTTTTTGTTGTTAAGCTCAAAGCAATACAATGAAGTATTTGTGCTCTGCTTATTGCAGGTATCAAAATCTGAGCTTTATAAGCCCTCAAACTTACTACTTAGCCATCTGGGGGCATATTTAAATGATTATTTAATGAGGATATAAAATTCACCAGTGTCTTTGTCATATTTCATTAATTTATACAGAAATGCTCAATGAAATAATGGTCCACCCTATCTAAATTTAAAATTACAAAAATTATACTAGACATATATCTCTACAATCAAAACATAAACACAATGCAGGCCTGTGTATGTCCACAACCCCCCTATAAAGGATTTTTAGCAAATAAAAAAATTCAATGTCACTTACATCTATTCTTGATATAATAACAAATAGCTTTTTATTTAAATATACGATCAGGTGAAGGATTATGAAACGAAACCTTATTGTGTGAAAAATAAGCAATGTATATGACTGATAATGGATACCTTTGAACATACCTTAATAAACGAAGTGGACGTAAAATTATAACAAAAGAGAAAGGAACATTAAAGTGTTCTGCAATTACTCCAGCAAGACCCAAAACTGTGACAGTAAAATCATATCTGAAATGGAAAAAAAAGGAAGCTACAATCAATGTCATAGAAGAACCTAAGTGAAGTTGACAGTAGTGAGTTCTTTATCCAATATGGTTTTAAAAATTATCATATTTTAAATCTTACTTGTTTGAAAACAACAAAATCAAAGCTTTTGAGACAGAGATCTATTGGTTCTTGAGAAAATAATTTATGGTAATTAAATTTCTTACAACTCAAGTTAGGACTGACCTTCACTACATCATAACAAACTCACTAAATTACAAACAGAACAAGTATTTTACTAAGTTATATGTGAAATGTTTCATTATTTAGTACTGAGTTGAATTCTTCATTATATCATACCAAATAGCTTATATCACTGATGGGATATGTCTTTCACTAAATAATATGTAACAGATTATATCATTTAGTGAGATCAATCCTTCATCATGTCACATCAAACATGCATCACTGATAGGATGGATCTTTAAATCATAAATATCTGCTTATATAATTTCTAATTGAGATAAATTCTTCATTACATCACACATAATACACTACATCAATGATGGGATGTATCTTTCATCAACCCTTTCATTACAAGCTGGGTGGAATCCACCCAGACCGTAAACACAAAACTATCTATGTTTGTTTGTTTGTTTTTTAATTTCGCGCAAAGCTACACCAGGGCTATCTGCACTAGCCATCCCTAATTTAGCAGTGTAAGACTAGAGGGAAGGCAGCTAGTCATCACCACCCACCACTAACTCTTGGGCTACTCTTTTACCAACAAATAGTAGGATTGACTGTCACATTATAATACTCCCACAGCTGAAAGGGCAAGCATATTTAGTGTGACAGGGATTTGAACCCATGACCCGAAGATTGCGAGTCAAGCGCCCTAACCACCTGGCCATCCCGGGCCAACTATCCATGAGAGTAATTATACTATGATTTTTGATAATGTAATCATACCTTTACAAAATTTTGCAGGTTATTGGTAAACATTACAAGGCTTTCCAACACAAAATATCAGGTTTTTAAATTAAGTATTTAGATTTTTTAATTAAACACCTTCTCGTAAATTTTTTCTTTTAGAATGTTGACTATCCAACATGCAAAGTAATTTTGATTTTAAGATTAAAAATACTTTTATGCATTAGAATATTTTCAAATTTCACAAGCAAAATCTTTATAACCTTCAGATAATTATCAAATTATTTTTTAAAAAAAACTTCAGATTTTATTGGTTATTTTCACTACTGTATCTCTGTATGGGTTGGTTCAATTTGACTGACTTCATAACCTCAATAAAAAATTATGAAATAAATATAAGTTCTACTTCTTTTGTTCCAGAATGACTACAAATTATAACATGAAAACAAAAATGTTTGGTCTAAATATGGTCTTATACATTTATATATAATAATTATTATTATTACATTGACCTTTCAGCCATGCCTGGCTAACATTATTGAAGTTGCAATAATATGGTGCATGTGCACTCATGTTACCATATCTAAGAGTTTCAAACTGGCCTTTACCAAGTGACCTATCTTGGTTGTGTTTTAGTGGACTAGTATTTTGTAAAATACAGTCACATTTCAGTTATAATACATTATTACTATTTACAAATAAGTTCTTAAAGTTATTTTTCTTAAAACATAGAACAGTAAATAAAGAATTATAGAAAATAATTACATCTTCTAGTTACAACCTTTGTACTTGTTTGCTGCATGCCATAAATTGCTAAGTCTTATCAAATTTTGCATGTGGAGGATGTGAAATGAAATATTTTTTTAAGGTTTTATATACGTATTTGAAATAACCAAAAAATTATAAATTACTATATCAGTATCACAGAATTCCACTATAGTTTCTCAAGCTTAGTAACAACTCTGTATTTGGCTCTAAAAAATATGAAAGTTAGAGCAGACTAAATACTCAACTTACCATCTTGAATCGAAAGAACGAGTTGTCATCACAATACTACAAAATGGTTGAGAAAGCCACTAGGGGGACAATCTGAGCTTTTGATTAGTTATTCACATGCTATAGACAGAACTACTTGTACATAAAGGAGTGTTTCCAAAAATTGAAAGAGGTGGGTGGGGCCATTGTGTGTGTTTTAGTACATGATTGATATCTCAGCAAATAGAAAAGATAGGAGGTTTTTATTTTATATTCTAACTTGTCAATATCAGTAGACATTTTAGTCGGACATCAAATTTGAACCAATGCTGCATTCAACATACCATGTGACACACAAAAATCAATATTTAGGATTTCTTTTTTAATATTTACTTTTAAATTAAGAAATTAACTAAGGATCATACTAAGATTTTAATTTACAATTTGATACCAAACTTACTGACATATATTAATAAAATAGTAGTTCAATAAAATTTTGAATGCGAGTCTACAAATGCAATGACATGGCCTTTGACCCGTGACCATAGGAAGACCCGTAGAGAGAGGGTAAAACCATAAATATGTGATTATATCATTTTGTACTAAGATGGATACTTAACTGGATGGGTCTTTACTTAAATCTGATACAGATGATATCAGTTGTGAGATAGATGCTTTGTTGAGTTAACCCTCTCTACACAGACATCTTTTTCTGCATACGTCACAAGGTTTTAGTTACATTCTTTTCATGGTATATCAATAAATATAGCATAAAAATGTAGCTAATAATCCATATCTTAATAATACATAAGTTTTAAGTTCTAATTTTTATAAGGCAATATTAAATGAAATCCTATTAGGAGAATTGTGATATTTTCTCTCTAGCCATCTCCCCTTCTCCAATTTATTTACCACCCCTTCAAAAAGTTCCAAGTTTAACATAAATTACTCATGATAATTTTGTAATTGCTCAGGCAAAGCATAAATTGTATAGCCTTCAATCTTATTTAGTTACAGAGCCATAAAATAAACAATCAGACCCCTCTTGCTATACCTACCTGTCACATCTTCTCTTTCACAAATTGCCAATAGTTCTCTCTGATGTTCAATATTATATCATTTATAACCAATAGAAAGCCAAGGTTTTTACCTATCAAATGACTTTATATCACATTATGTTCTGCATAGAGAATTGTCAATTTCACTTTAGTTCAAGCTTTATTCCCACAGGAAACACATCGATGAGCTTTGATGAATTTTTAACGGCTCTTATCACATTGTTAGAAAGCCAGGAAAATTGTGATAGTTATGGGACATTGTCTGCTTTTTGCATGTTATCATTCTATGTTCTTTGATGCATTATTTAATTAAATAAAAAATTTTTAGTGCAGTACTACCATTAGTATAAAAAAAGTAGAGTTAATTGTCATTTGCATTCAACAGCAGAAAAAAGAAGACCCAGGTAAGTGCTTTATTTCTTGTTTTTCATGTGTATTTTTTATTTATTATTATAAAAGTAACTAAAATGTAAAAATATGATAGTTTAGATTAGGTGAAATAAATAATAATAAAACAATATAATAAAAATTTTGCATGAGGTATGCTCTCGAGTAGCTCATGTGTAATGTAATTCAACAGCATAACATGAGCTGCATGTTCACTATGTGATTTACAACTTATAATGGTGTAAACAGTTGTTAGATATGGTTCAAAGAGCAATAAAACAATAAAATTTAAGTATAAATAGATGTATACTGTTATGAGTTTAAAAACCTATTTATGATAAACAAATATAGTTTCATGTTACAATTTGAAGTCATTCTAGAAAGAAAAAAAGGGTAATTTACATTTATTTTATTTATTATTTTTTGGTGGTTATGAGGTTGATCAAACTGACCAACTTTGTACAGAGTTAGGGTAGAAAAAATAACATACAATATAAAGTTTTACTGAAAAAAAAAAACTTTGAAATTTATTTAGGAGGTTTTAGGGATTATGCAAATGAAATTTGATATTTTTGAGACAAAGCAAAGTATTTTTAATCTTAACATGGAAATCACTTTGCACTCGAACTAGTAAACAAAGAATAGTATATATTTATGGACAACTCTTCACTAACAATACTTCTTTAAAAAATTAGATTTTTTGTGTACAAAAGACTTTTCTAATGTTTACTAAAAGTCTGCCAGATTTTGTGAAGATACACATACTGTATTAAAAGTTATGGTTTGGAAAGTATAATTGAGTACAAAATATTTATGAGTTCGGTAAAATCCAGTGACGTTTTAGCGAGAGATTTAAATGTAATAATGAAGAGAAAAATAATAGGCTTCTTAAAACTTACATGTTCCAGCCTGATTGGAAGTATCCAAACAGACCCAGACCAACAATCTTCAATAGAGCTTCTACTGAGTAAGCTGTCATAAACAACAAAAAATTAGTATAAACAATGACTCATTTTCACTCAGTGGCACAGATGGTAGGATCTCAAAAACCCAAAACCTTTTAAAACAGAGTACACAGAAACATAAAGAAACCCTTTAATTTAAGGAACATGAAAAATACTACCGTTTGGGTGCATTGTTATTCAAACAAAAACATAGAAACCGATTTAAAAAGAATTAAAAGTGAAACAAAAATAGAGTTTATCTTACTGAATGTGAAAATATATATAAAAAATTAATATATATAACTTCAGTGACATTTTTCATACTTGTTTCAAAATTTTATTATTTTCAAAAAGATCCTAAAGTTTAATTGGTGCAGTTAGCTCATGTTATAGCTTTAATCAGGCGTTCTCTAATAAATGCTAAGTAAAAATTACTTTTAATCCTCTTTCCATACAAACATTAAACCACTATATATATGCCCAAACTTATATATTGTAAATTTAACAAAACATGTACTTGCTCAAACTTAGATACTATATACACACACATATACATACATACATAGAAACTATCTTGCCAAAACTTACCAACAATAAATCCAACTGAAACCCAAGTTCCAGCTATTCCATAACTCTTGATGTGATGAGTCACTGCAAAACAAAATCATCAGATCATCATTGTAAAGATAAAACTTCCTTGCTGTGTATTACATAATGAGAAAATATTTGCTTTATATATTTTTTTGTTATAAAGTATTGTACTAAAAACAGAATACTTTTTGTACCTATTCAGCATCAGAGAGCAGGGGGGAAGGAGTGGACATCTTTTTCTACACCAAAAATTGAAGTGATTTACCTTAGCTTAAATGAAACTTGTAAAATGAAAGTATTCAAAACTTAAAAACAAAAAAAGAGGAGCTTAGCTTATCTCACATTTATAATCTGCTGGGTTGCAAACAATATTTAAAAATATTGTGAGGGTTGTTCAAAACAAGATTAAAATTGTTAGGAATGATATAGTGGGTTATATAGACTGGAGCAAGCGAATTCGAATTCATACCAATGCTTAGATGGGCAAAGAAGAGAACCTGAAGTGTAAGCAGTGGTATTATCAGAAATACATTTTCAGTATAAAAATGTTAACCTTCAGGGATACTTCCTTCACTGCTGTAGCTGTTGTAGTTGTACAACTCATATCTAGGTAGCAGTGGCATAGCCAGGTGGAGGAGGGAAACTCTCTCCACCTATGTCAATGCACCCTCTACACCCGATACGTATATAAGCTTCCTGTTATTCTTTCTTATTCTTTTTTTTTGAGACTCGCAATATTATCATACCGAAACACCGGCTATTGTGAGGAGTGTGATAGGATAAGTGGAGGTAAGTATTATCAGATATACACTTTCAGTATAGGGAATTGTAAACTTCTGAAACATACTTATCTCAGCTCCCACTTTAGCTAGAATCCCACATTGACAAGGTGGAGGGGCTGGTGATGACAAGATCAATATAGAAAGCACCTGCATAGAAACGTAGGCGTGCAAAATTGAGAGATAATAAATCATGATAGTGCACTACTTCTGGAACAGGTATGCTCTTTATTCAGATAACGTGAAATCTAAACGTGGACAGTAAAAGCCAACAAGCTACAGAATCAACATTGTTCATTATCACAAGAATCATCCAGGCCCTAACCACACAGACAAGGTTCCACATTTTGTCATTGGAATTATAGGACTCTGGATGCAAAACTAGTTCCAGCATGTATTGGCTAGGATATAGGGACCGCAATATGACATAATTGTATAATAGAAATATGATATGAACGGAACCCAACCTGAAAGTTACAGAATGTTGGACAAACCCTCACTCCAACTTGAAGAAGCACAAAATGCAACAAACCAAACTCAGAATTACAGGCCCAGGCACCCAACCTGAAGAAGCACAAAATGCAACAAACCAAACTCAGAATTACAGGCCCA